TGGGCTGCTTGACCGCCAGCCAGGTCAACAGTTCAAAGCCACCAGCCGCTCTTCAGGAGAAAAATGGGGCTTTCTATTCCCCTAAACAGTCACAGTCTCAGAACCCCCAGGGCAGTTCTACCCTGTCCTGGGTTCGCTATGAATCGGGATTGACTCAGTGGCAGTGAGTTTGGTATGGTGAGCCGCTTTCCAAGTGCTCAGTAGCCACACTGGCTAGTGGTGACCACATGGGATAATGCAATTAGGAAAACACTTCCATCATTACAAAATGTTCTAAAGCATAGCAACCCTTGGCACGGCAGAACGAAACACGCCCAGGGCCGCCACCCTCACCATCGTTGTTAGCGGTCGTAGTCCTTGAGGACCTTCCTGTCTCCCTTACCATGCATAGTACCCTTTTTCAGGGACTGAGCTTCTTGTTTGTTTGTTTTTGTTTTAAGGATAAAATAAGTTTTTCTTTATAGTCTTATAGTAAAGGGGAAAGCCTTAACTTGCAAGACAATTCTTCTGCGGTATGTACAACATACTTTTTATTTCCACGGAATGGAATCAAACACAGACCGAGACTACAGAATATACACTAGAAATCAGCGAATGCTGGGAACGGAGGAGGGGCAAAGAAATGAGGCCGGAACACAAAGCCTTTCCAGGGACCTGGTGACCCCAGCCAGAGCCAGGGCTGGGCCGCGGAATGGAGATGGGCTCCAGAGAGGGAGGGAGGGGCCGCGCCAGGGTGCTCGAGTTTAGTGCCAGGTAAATTGCTCTTGGTATTTACATACAGAACCAGTTGGCTCTATTTCTTAGAAATGCACACTGAAGGAAAGGAAGATTTGATCCTTACTTTATGAATCTGTTGCTTTATAATGCCAACATCATCAGAAATAGGGAAAATTCATTCAGATTCAAATTTCAGTAGCAGGAAATAAATATCAAAACATCATCACTGGCCCTCAATACAAAACCTCTGCCCTTGCCCCAGCCTCCTCCTCCTCCTCCAGATTCTCTCACCAGCCAAAGAGGCAGGGGTTCAACATGTCAAAGACTCAGCTGCAAACCTGTCCCCAGGTTCCCTGTAAACCGCAGCTTCTCCAAGGATCTGGTCTTTCAGTAAGAATGATAAATAACCTTTTTTTTTGGTGGGGGGAGGGGGCAGTCCCTAAAAAGGAGCAGGGAGAAGGATAATTCTGATTATTCCAAACTGATCATCTTCGTAAAGTGGAGCAGTTCACAGATTCACAAAGTCTGTCAGATAGAGGTGACGGCAGACAGGAGGCGAGGCCTGGGAGGGTAGGAGTCCTCCAGGCGCCAGTGCCCGCAGTGTTGGAGGAGCTGGTGGGGCAGTGAGGACACCATATACTCAAGAGGTCTGGCCTGCTGTCTGTCCTCCACAGAAAAAGCTGCCAAGTTGGGGTGTTTGGGTTTAAAAATTCCTGGTGGGAACAGGGAATCCCTGAAGGGAAAACATTGGGTGGGGGGGTAGTGGAAATGGAGGAGAATAAGAGCTTCTATGTAAAAAGCAAGGAAAATAAAGAGTCTCTTAGAGGGGTCTAACGATGAACTGAGAGGATGAGATGCCGGAGGAGCCAGTTTTTGTTGCTGGCCTGCCCTGCTGCGCTTAGGTGGCCTCCATCAGTGTCTTCCTGCTTTGAGGCTCCTCGGGCCCCAACCCCGAGCTGGAGTCCGAGCCCCATCGAAGGCAGAGCTGGTGCTGCCCTTGGCGTTGGTATAGAGGCTGTTTGAGGAGGGGAGCTGGTCTGCAGTTGGGCGCTTTCTCCAGGTCATGGACTTGCTGCTCCAGGGGAGCATTCTGCTGCTTGAGGTCGTCAATCTCTTGCTGGTGTGTGGCTTCTCCTTCGCATATACTGGATAGACTGTGGCCTTGTCTAGGATCTGGGCCCGGGATGCCTTCTCTCCTTGGAGTGATGAGACCGAATCCCACAAACTGTGAAAACTGTCTTTGATGTGATCCCTGTGTTTTCGCTCCAGTGCATTATCGCTCATTTCCTACGGCCCAGGGAGTGGCCACTGCTGGGCAGCGGGCAAGGGTGGAGGGGAGGGGGAAGTCACCCCCCCACACACACACACACACTCACACTCATTCGCTCACTCACTCACTTGCTCTCTCACTCACACACACCGGGACTGAGCTGCTTGATGACAGGGCCAGAGCACCTAAGACCAAGTTTCAGCATCTCACTTTTTTTTTTAATCATTTTATTGGGGGCTTGTACAACTCTTATCATACATCCATTGTGTCAAGTACATTTGTACATTTATTGCCTTCATCATTCTCAAAACATCTTTCTACTTGAGCCCTTGGTATCAGTTCCTCATTTTTCCCCTCCCTCTCCTACCCTCCTTCCCTCATGAACCCTTGATAATTTATAAATTACTATTATTTTTTCATGTCGTACACTGTCTGATGTCTCCCTTCACCCACTTTTCTTTTGTCCGTCCCCCAGGGAGGGGGTTATAGGTAGATCCTTGTGATCGGTTTGCCCTTTCTCCCCCACCTTCCCCTTCCCCTCTTGGTATCCCTACTCTTAATATATTGGACCTGAGGGTTTACCTGTCCTGAATTCCCTGTGTTTCCAGCTCTTACCTGTACCCGTGTACATGCTCTGGTCTAGCCAGATTTGTAAGGTAGAATTGGGGTCATGATAGTGGGGGTGGGGTGGGGAAGAAAGCTTAAAAAACTAGAGGAAAGTTGTGTGTTTCATCGGTGCTACACTGTACCCTGACTGGCTTGTTCATCTCCAGCAGCATCTCACTTCTAAGGAGTAGAGCATCCTCACGCTAGTGAAAGATGAGGTGCTTAATATTAATGCCTCCCAGTTTCAATATGCAGATGATACCTTGAGAGTCTGGTTGACATACAAAATCTGAATGAGTAAGCCTGGGGCGAGACCTGAGATCGTGCTTTTCTGATAAACTCCTGGATGAGGTCAGTGCATCCTGTCTGCAGAGAACGCTTGGAGTCGAAGGCTCTCTGGGCTGTTTACAATCATGACCGCCCGCACCAAGGGCAGCAGGCTTGGTGGGGGGGAGGGGCAGCAAGAAAGAGGAAGGCCCTCCATGAGATGGATTCGCACGGTGGCTGCAACAATGGTGAGGCTGGCATGGGACCAGGCATTGTTTCCTCCTGTTGTGCATAGAGGGTCACTGTGGGTCGGGACGAACTCGATGGCCCCTGACATCGGCACTAACTCCTTCCCTCCCATCATACTGCGAAAGCAACAGAGGACAAATCTATAAATGTCTCTGCTCGAATCAGCAGTTAGGGTCTACTCCTTCTACCCCCACCTCCTTGGCAAAGCCTTTGTTAATCTTGCCAGCTGGAGTGAACACCTTCTCCGGTCCCCATGGCAGTCTCTCTCTGGGTGTCTCTCGGACAGCACTTGGAACATTCTGCCTCCTATTGCGGATGTTTGTACTAACATGCACTGCGCTCATTAGATTGTAAGCTCTTTGAGGACAAGACCCAGGGCACCTCGTAGGCATGTAATGCCACACGATACGATATCTGAATGCATCTATTGGTAAAGAGACATCAACAATAGAGGAGACAGAGCGTATTTCCAGCTGGGGAAGCAGCTGCATTGTGGGGCTTTGGCCAAGCTGCTGTTTTCCTCTGTGTCTTTGTTTTCACTTGTGTGGGCGTGAGAGCAGGGGGATTTGGGGAGAAAATAAGTTCAAACAGTGTTTGCAAAATTGCAAGGGAGTTGGATTGTAGGAAGGATGTTTTCTTCCGTCCAGAAAGACTATGTGATTCCTAGGAGCGGTGGAATAGCTTGTATCATACTTAAACCACCTGGTCATAACAATGATAACATCTGGGTAAAATATAAAACGACAGCTGTTTGAAGGCACTGAAGAGCAACCAAACAGCAGACCCAAACCAGAAAAGCATTGACTCTTGAAAGCAGGGCTCCACACTGATTTAACTGACATGGAATTTCCTGGGAAGGAAGTGCCTACAAAGGATCATCTGGGATGTGCACTGTCCAACGGGGAAGGGCTAGAGATACGGAAGCTGTAGCTGACCAGGCCGTTTGTGGAGAAAACTCAGTCCGTGGAAACGGTCCACAAACAGCCCACATACAGAGACTTTAAGATAATTAAATGGTTTCAAATCTGTGGGGAAACGTGGACATGATGGGTGAAGAGGTGGTGAGTTCTAGGGAAAATGAACTGTGAGAAAGAGTTTGGAAGTTCCCGTTCTGCTGTGGAGAGCCCTGGTGTCCTAGTGGGTCATGTGTCGGGCTGCTAAACACATCAGCAGTTCGAAAGCACCCACCACTGGACGGAGAAGGAGGAGGCATGCTGCTCCCATAAAGAGTTATATTCTCAGAACCCCACAGGTTCTGAGACCGTTCTGTGCTGCCCTGTAGGTCGTTAGAAGTCGGAATGGACTCGGTGGCAGTGAGTTTGGTTATTTGGTTCTGCTATGGGAGCACTCTGAACAAAATTTAAATGTTACCTAAAGAATGCAAG